AGAGAGTGTGTGTGTGCTGTGTGTGTGTGTGTACATTCCATTGAATTCTTTATAATTTCCTTCCTTTTACTAGTTTTGGATTTGGATTTTTCTTGTTTTTCTGGGACCTTGAGAGGCATCATTAGGTTATTTATTTACATTTTCTCTTTTTTTTTTATGTGAAAATTCACCACTATAAACTTCCCTCTTAGTACTGCTTTTGTATCCCATAGCTTCTGGTATGTCATACTGGAATTATCATTTGATTATAGAAACTGTCTAATATTTTTTTGATGTCATCTGTGAGTCATTAATTATTCAAGAGGGAATTGTTTAATTTCCATGTGTTGGCATAGTTCCTTTTGAAATTCATTTCTAGTTTCATTATGCTATGGTCTGATAATATGCATGGGATATTTTGATTCTTTTGCACTAAATTGTTTTATGGACCTGTATGTAGCCTGTATTTGAAAGTTCATGTGCTGCTGAGAAGAATGTGTATTCTGTTGTTGGATGGAACACTCTGTAGATATCTATTAAGTCCATCTGTTTGAAGGTTTATTCCAACTCTGATATTTCTTTATTGAATTTTTGTCTAGTTGATCTGTCCTTTTGTAGCAATGGGGTATTGAGGTCTCTGATTACAATTGTGGTGGTATTTATCTGATTTTTCATGTCCATTAGTGTTTGTTTTATGAATTCAGATGCACTGGTATTTGGTGCCTGTATGTTTAGAATTGTTACCTCTTTCTGTTGAATCGTTCCCTTAACTGATGTATAGTGCCTTTGTTTATGCCATTTGCTCAGTCTCGGCTTGAAATCTGCTTTGTCTGAAATTAGGAGAACTACTGCTTTTTTATATTGTTTTTCATCCTTTGATTTTTTTTTAATCTGTGACTTTCTTTTTGTATTTTTTATATTTTTTAATTTATGTATTTGGTACAGGGTCTGACTTTGCAGCTCAGACTCATAGTGATCTCCCTGGTTCAACCTCCCCCCATGCGTGCCGCCACGCTCGGACTTGGTGACTGGGAATCAAACCCAGGTCCCTGCATTTGCCTAGACAGGCGTTTAGTCCACTGAGCTATCTCGCCAGCCCTGTGATTTTCTTTTTGAATGAAATAGATTCCTCACATATCATTGTGATATTGTATATATTTGGGTTTTGTTTCTTGATCCATTCTGCCAGTCTGTGTCTTTTTATTGGGGATTTGTAACCATGCACATTGAGGGTTTGCCTTATTTTCCTGTTGGTCATTTTGTTTGCCTTTTTTATCCTCTTGTTTAACTGGTTATCCTGCTAGGTATATTCATTCTTTTTGACTTACTGACACCTTGTTGGTGTCATTGTCTCTTTTTGACTTACTGACACCTTGTTTGTGTCATTGTCTCTTTCTATGATATCCACATTTGAAATGCTGGTTTGTGGTCATTAATTCCTTGAGGTGCTCCTTGTCATGGAAATAATGTATTTCTCCATCAGTTTTTGAAGGACAGTTTCCCAGAATACAAAGTTGGGATTGGAAGTTGTTATCTTTTGGGGGTTGAAACACCACCACAAGCCCTGTTGGCCTTTAAGCTTTGTGTGGTGAAGTCTGCTGCAATTCTAATTGGTTTGTCTTCATATATCATTCATTGCCTTTTTCTTAACGGCTTTTGAAATTTTTTTGTCCCTGTGATGTACTTCAGGTACTTTGAGTATAACTGTGGAGAGATTCTCTTTTAGTTGTGGCTATTTGAGATTATGTACGTCTCGCTTGACTATATTTTTTTTCTTCTCCAATTTTTGAGAAAATTTCTACTGTTCTAACTGTGAATGGTTATGTTTTTTTGGGTTTTTTTTTTTAAGGTCATTTCTGTTGACCTTCTGCTTTTTCACTTACTCCAGTTACTCCTTAGTCTTTGAGCCATCTAGCAGAGTTTAGATCCATTTTTTTGTGTGTTCTTGTTGCTTTTATAAAGGTGTCTAAGGGCGGCCAAATAGCTCAGTGGATTAAAGCACCTGCAAGCAGGCACGGGGACTGGGGTTCAATCCCTGGGACTGCCATTCTGGCCACACCCCCAGGGCACGTTGAGACTGGGCATGGTGCTGCATGCCTGTAACCTCAGCTCTTGGTAGGCTGTAAACAGGCAGATCATTTTGAGTCCAATCTAGTAGTGAGACCCTGAACACCCTTTAGACCCTCCCCTAAAATACAAAAAGATGTCTGTGAGTACAGTGTAGTTGTGTAGTTGGCCTTAGAAGTCTCCTAGTTCCTCAGTTCTGTCTGCTTCTGCTGCTTATACTGTTCAGTGTAATTTTTAATCTCCTGGTTTTCTGATTGAAACCTTTTCATGGACTGAAATTCTTCGCTAAACTAGCCATTCAGGTTTTAAATCATTTTAGTAATCTAATTTTTTTTTCCTAGCTTTTTATTAGTGTCTTATGAAAGCTCCTGTGCATTTTGGCTATTACTTCATTATCTGTTTAATTATATCTCCTGTGACTCTGCTTAGTACCTCTTGATCTGTTTCTAACCTCCCTTTATCCTTTCAAATAATTCGGGTGTACGGCTTATGCTGTTCTGCTCCTCTGTGCCCCCTGGACTGGCTTTGGGGGAATTAGGGAGTTTGGGGAGGCATTTGCTGCCTTATTTTGTCATGTTTCTTTCATTTGGTTTTGTGATTGGATTTGTGGGTGCTTATAGTGCAATCTCTGTTGCTAGTATAGTGATCTCCTTCTCAGTGGTATACTTTGGGCATGGCTAGCAGTAGTCCTTTGCCTCAGTCCTACAATCTGATCACCTTGGTTAATTTGAGAGGGGAGAATGCAGTGTAAGTAGCCCAACAAATTCTCTGGGAATGTACATTTATATTTTTTAAAATTTAATTTATTTTATTTATTTATTTATTTTTTGTATTTTAGGGAATGGTCTACAGGGTATTCAGGTTCTCAATACTAGATTGGACTTGTAGTGATCCATCTATTTACAGCCTCCCAAGAGCTGGGATGATAGATGCGCGCCACCATTCCCAGTCTCAATTGCCATCTCAGCGTACCCAGGGGTGGGGCTGGCACAGCAGACCTAGGAATTGAACCCTCAGCCCCTGCGCCTGCTTCCAGGTGCTTTAATCCATTGAGCTATGTGGCCTGCCCAATTTTGTTTTGAAGAATAAATACAAAAACAAAAAAGTAAAAACAAATAACAAAAACAAAGACAGAGTAACATACAACAGTATATATGGTACATATTTTCAAAACAAGAAAAGCTCACTACACAGCTTAGATTTGTAGTGATCCTCTTGCTTTCAGCCTCCCCAGCAGTGGGATTACAGGTGTGGACCACCATGCTCTGTCTCTGTGGCTGGCTCAGTGTGTCTGCGGGCAGGGCAGGGCTTGTGCAGCATATGATGCCAGAACTCAAATCCTGATCCCTGGGCTTGCTTAAGCAGGCACTTAATCCACTGAGCTATCTTGCTGGCCCTATAATACATATTTTTATCATCAGATCTGTTGCTCAGGTGAACAGATACAGATTTGCAAAATTGGACAAATTTAACATTAACGCTTGTTTTCTTTTTTTTTTTTTAATGCTTTTCAATAAACCTTAATAATTTTTTCTTGACCATTTTATATTAGTATTTTTAAATTTATTTAAAGAGAGTATAATAATATTTGGTAAGACATAAGAAACGGTACACATTTAGAAAAACATGATATGAGATATTCAGCCATGGTTTATGTATTGCACATTGCTGTCTTCAGTATAGTTGCTCAGATTGAAGATGTTAGCATATAAAGGTAGTCAAAGGGCTGGTGAGATGGCTCAGTGGTCTAAAGCACCTACTTAGAACAAGCTTAGCAAAGCACAGGGACCGCGGTTCAATCCCCCAGCACCACATGCCAGCCCGCCCCGCCCCCTGTTGGGCTGAGCTGGCCACACACACACACAAATAAATAAATAAAATTAAAAAAAAATAAAGGTAGTCAAAGTGAAAATTTTAAACATTAACTACTATTGTATTGTTAATAATATAAAGATGTCATGCAGCCCTCTGGAGTCCCCAGTTTTTGCCTTTTTCCTAGTGTCAGTGCATCTCCCTTTTCTGTGAGCCAGCAGCCGCAAGCCAGGGTGGAAGTACAGATTGTCCCTTCCCTTCTCCATGTTATTTTATCTCTTCACTTTCTCTGTAGGCTCCAACTTTCTTGTTGGATTTAGTTCCCTAGGATCTATGTCTTTCATTTTGCTTCTCTAGATTGTTATTTTCCAGTGTGTGGATTCCAGGTCTTTTGAGAGGTAGGAGTAATTATTGCTTAGCATAGTAAGCTAGGGCCACTCATGGTACTTTCTATTACTGTACTGAGGTAAACCAGTACACTGCAGTAATAATAAGATAAAAAGGTGACATTTTGGAGCACTTACTATATGCCACAAACTTTGTTAATACTTCCACAAACATTATGAAGCTCCTAATAGCCTTGGTTATTAACGACATTTTATAGAGGACGGAAGGGATTTTGAGGCGTTCAGTATTTTGCTCTAGGTTAGTCCACTGGTTAATGATAGACTTCCTCACTGAAAAGCCTTCTGCTCTTTGTCACTGCACTGTAATTCCATTTTCAGTTAAATCTCAGGCTTTTTTATTTGTATAAGAATGTTTAATATTACATATTTCAGTATCTGGCACGTTGAAGTTCCAAGTAAAAATCAGTAGGCCATGAGCTAGAGATCCCTTGCAGGGCCTCTACCACTGGGAATGTTGGCACTGTTGAGCCTGAGATAGAGAATTGAGTCAGCCTGTACAAACTGCATTTAATTTTCATCCCAGGATTTCTCTCCTGGGGTTACTGGGCAATTTATGTCCACACCCTCTTGGTCTGTGGAGAAGGGGGAGGGGGCAGTGCAGTGCTCCATAGTCATTCATTTCTTTTACTGATGAGAAGAAAAAAATGCTTTCCATTTCATTGTCCTCTGAAATGCTTTGTATTTGAGAGGGCATCAAAATGCTTTCTAGTGATCCTTGACTTTTCTTTTTTCTAGAGCAAAGACTCAGGCGGACTGAAGGCAGCTATGATTGAGTTGGTGGAAAGGTTAAAGTTCAAGAGCTCAGACCCTAAAGTAAGTGCTGTTTTGGTATTAGTTGGGTGTTGCTTACCCTAAGCATTTAGTTCTCCAAGCATTAAGTTTGAGGGATGTTAATGATTATCTATCTGAATATTACATTAAGATCTAATTAAGCCTGCCTGTCAAAAACAGTTCTAATATGCCTGAAGGTAAGTCCTTTATTTTTCCCTTCTCTGTTTTATGACTTATAGCGCATAATCATTAATTGTTTTCCCTGAACAGCAGAGAAGTACATTTTTAATCTTTATCAGGCTTTTGAGACTTTATGTCCTTTCTGTCCATTAAATCCAGCCAAAGGCATCTGAGGTGCTGACTAGCATAATACTGAGTACTGGAGTAGGATTCAGACCCATCCAGTTGATTTTCAGTGCTAATGCCTTGTCTGCCCCTTACTTAGAGGAGTCAGCTGCCACTGTGCCAGCTTTTGTTCTCATGACCTGGAGTTTGCTCTGGTAAATGGTTTAAGTGTCCCAGCTTTTTTAAAATAATATGCTGAGGCCTCGAGGCATTGATATTCTGGGAGGTCCCATACCAGGGTGGGGGTGGACTGAGAACTGAACATGCCCGAGGGATTATGACTAACAGAGACTCCCTCTTCTTTCCTACTGAGACATTTATTGTGGCACTACCTGTTATTGGGACCAGCTGGCTCTGTCTGCAACTCACAGACTTTCATAATTAAGCAGGGAAGCCGAACATAATTTTACTTTGTGTGTTCCTTTTTCCCCAAAAATTCTTTATAAAGAGGATGGGATGATGTTTCTTAAGCACCTACTGAAATGTAGGCATTGTGGTAGGGCCTTACATAATTGTGGTAAAATACACAAAATAATATTTTTGGCCATTTTTAAGTGTATAGTTCAGTAGTATTAAATATCTTTATAAATATAAAGATATATTTATATAATATTTATAAATATGTTTATGTAGCCATCACCACCATATATCTCTGGTACTTTTACATTGTCCTAAAGTAAAACTTCATACCCATTGTGTTTTAATTACAGTATTAACCCTGTAAAGCAGCATCGTGTTTCTATTTTATAGATAACACAGAGATGTGGAAAGGCAGGATAATTTTTCTCAACTCTGATATAATGTAGAACTGGTACTCAGACCTTGACTCCATTGTCTATGCTTTGTGTCCTGCAGCAGAGCAAGTACTGGGTTTCATCCCTTTTCTTCTATGTAATCACTTCCTGCCTCCGTATTCTAAGCCAGAACACTGAGTCAGAGTCATAGACAGATAGGCTCTTCCAAAGGTGACTGCAACCTCTAATCTAGAGAATAGGACCAGCGATATAGTTCAGCGGACCAGGCACCTGCTTAGGCAAGTGCAGGGACTGGGGTTCCATTCCCGGCACAACATGCTGCACTGCCCCCCTCCCTGCACCCTCCAGAATGCTAAGCTGGCCACCGAGACCCAGTGTGGGGCCACATGCCTGTAATCGCAGCTCTGGAAAGGCTGAAAAAAGGATGATCGCTATGAGTCTGAGTTGTGTAATGAAATCCTGTACCAAATACATTAAATTAAGAAAAGAACTTTTCTCTTTACATGACATGAAAGCATTGAGGCATTTGCATTATCTCTTCTGTTTGGTGTAGAGTAACCAAAAATTATGTGTTTTGATAGAAAAGCAATTAGAGTAACTTTTATTAAGTTTTTTAGCTCAGACTAGGAGAACCTCTGGCATAGTTTTTTCTTTAGTGAAGATGAACTACTTACTTATTAAACATTACTAAAAGCTGTCTTTAACAGGGTTTCCTGCTTTCTAAGGGAACAGCTATGCTAAGGGAGACAACTATATTTTCTGTTTTTGCCGTAGTGATATGCTTGTAATCAGCAGTACAGTGAAGAGGGAAAGATGATGCAGGTCAAATGCTTTGGCTTCATTTATGAAAGAACACAGTGCTTCTGATAGAAAACTTACAGAAGTGAATGAACTGGGGGGGTCCCATGAGAAGAATCTGTGGAAGTCTCAGGATTCCCCATGATGCATCATAAGTTAAAGGCCTGGTGTGTGGGCGCATGCTCAGCGCCCTTTGACCTTCGGGCCCGTGTGGCCTGTCATGTACTTGTGCTGTATGTCCTTGCACTCATCTTGAAGGGTGATGAGCATAACTGAAGAATGACTGCTAGGTCAGGAAGGATGGAGAAAAATAGGACACTCAAATATATAATTTCTATAATGGAAAATTTTCCTAGAAATAAGTTGATATCTTCCACAAGAACACTCATGCTTTCAGACCCTCCTGTTTTCCCTCAGCACCATACAGCCCCCTTTTTGAGTTGGCCTACTTAAGACAGGCAGACTCTCTCAGGCTTTGTGACCTGTCATTTCCTAGTGTAGGGCTCTACACCGAAGCACTGATTGAGTCACGGAGAACTGAATATTATTTCCGTCTCACTTCCTGTAGAATTCCCCGAGGCATCACAGAACTTATTAGTCCAGACACTGAGATCTACTGGAGATGGAGTTTAATTTTTAATTCTGAGTTTTGCCAGAGACCAGTGGAAGATACCTATGATAACCATTTTTTTAAAAATTAGAAAATAATGTATGCTAATAGATGAAAAATACAAACATTTGTAAAGGAAGAATAACATGAATTCTCCCCAAGTTAATCATTATTAATAAGAGTTTGATGTATATCCTTTCAGACATTTTTATTTTTATTGTTTATTTTTAAAACTTTTTACACAATTGTACCTTTGGCTTTGGGGTTCCTTTTCTTATGCAGCATGTTGTAGCTATTCTGTGTCAATAATACAGAGTTAGTTCTTCTTACTGCCTCATTTATCCAGAACATTTGCCAGACACCAGACCAGTGGTTCTTAAAATTCAGCATGCATGAAAATCATGGGGAAGATTTATTAAAATAGAATGCTCAGCCCACACAGCTTTTGATTCAGCTGATCTAGGTTAGCTAGAAATTTTTTTTCCTTGTCTTTTTTTCTTCTTTTTTTCTGTTGTGGTACTGTAAGTGCTGTACCACTGAACTGATATATTCCAAGACCTTTTCCTTTTAAAAAATATTTATTTATTTATTTATTTATTTATTTATTTATTTCATACAGAGTCTTGCTACACAGCTTGGACTTGTGCTGGGATTACAGGCACGCTTCACCGCACCCAGTCTTGGTGGCCTGCACTGCACCAGGCTGGCATGGTATACGGTATGGGGGATCGAACCTGGGTCCTTTGAACTTGCCAGGCAGGCGCTTAGACTGCCGAGCTACCTCTTTGGCCCTTCTTTTCCTTTTAAAGACAAGGTGTCACTCAGTTGCCCAGCTGGCCTTGAATTTGTAATCCCCCTGTCTGAGCTTTTCATGTAGCTGGGATCACTTATATAGTTAGAATCTCAGGTGTGTGGCTGGGGTCACACATGTGTTGCTGAGGTCACAGGCTAGCTGTTAGGCTCTCAGGTGCCACTCTGCCTGGTGTAAGAATTTTTGTTTCTATTATGGCCCCAAGTGATGCTGACACAGTTCAGGAACCCTTTTGAGAATCACTGTGCTTGACTATTTCCTTCACATTTGATTTCATTCCTTTTAACAAAGTTCCTAAAAATAAGCCCGATTTTAACTTTGAAAAAGGAAAGAAAATACAGTAGTCCTTCACTATTTCATGGTTTGACTTTCACTGACTCACTGGTTGGCAGGTTTTCAAAAATTTTTTAATCTAAATTATTTATTGCTGAGTTTTTGCTGTATCACAGGATTTTGCAGTATCATACAGTGTTTGTATCGTCTAGAGCCCCAAGCGTGCTGTGCCAGCCTTGGAACAGGGCTTGGTGGTGCACACTTGTAGTCCCAGCGCTGTGGAGGCTAAGGTAGCAGGATCACTAAGTCTGAGCAGACTGAGCTGCGTAGCAAGACCCTGTACCAAATAAATGAATATTATCTTGTTTTGAAATTCTGTATCGTTTTTGCTGTTTTTTAGTCATGGCCTTTATAATAAGGTAGATTTAAAAAAAAATTACATAGGTTTATGACTTTAGAAAACAGTTAAGGACTTTAGAAGTGTTTTTATTTTTAATTTTATTTATTTATTTATTTATTTATTTGTGGTACTGGGAATTGAACTCAGGACCTTGCGCTTGCCAGGCAGGCGCTTATGCCCTTGAGCTACCTCCCCAGCCCTAGAAGTGTTTTTAAAAGTGTGGGAATTTATAGGAGTGTGGGAAGCGTTTATGAAACCTTAATACACACACACACATGTATACACATATATGTACACATTTATATATATCAAAATAAATGTAACGTTGCTACTTCACTGATTTCACTTATTGCCGGGTGTCTGAAAGTGAGGGACCACTGTACAGTACGTTTTGAAAAAATAAATCTAGCCAAGAAAGGCATACGGAATGGGAAAGGAAGATAGATTAGAAAGTCAGCTCATTCTGCCTAGAGTAAGGGGATTGTTTTACCTCATCATTTCCAGTAGAATTAGCAAAAACAGGAAGGGGGAGAGGGGTCCTGATTAGCGTGTAGGAGAATAACCAAAGCGCCGAGCCCATCCTATGGCTCAGACATGGGCTGAGTTCTCAAACCAGAGGAACAGTAGCAAGCACCAAATCCCAGCTGCCAGGAGTGAGCCCAACCAAGGACAAGAACCAGAGCCAGTAGTGGTTGAAAAATTATGACAGTAAGTTGCATGCATGTTGCTGTGCTGAGCAGGAATTTAGAATCTCTGTGAAGTTACTGTATTGTGGGGGAAAATCACTTTTAATAATAGTCTTTAGTCTATAGAAAGGAGTACTAGTTAGTAGTCCTTTGTTTATTTTTATTTTTTTGCAGTACCAGAGATTGAATTCAGGACCCTGTGCTTGCCAGGCAAGTGCTTATTCTACTGAGCTATCTCCCTGGGCCCTTGTAGTCCTTTAAATAGTAAACTGTTGTAATGGGCTTGAAAGAGTTTAGTTTGCAAAATGTTTTTCCCACCAAATTTTCTAAGACATATATTGAACAGAGCAGCATGTTTGGGCTG